GTTTTTCTAGAAAAACATCCGAAGAAGTGGGCTGTAGTCCACGAAAGCTTATGCTCTAATAAATCTGTTAGTCTCTAAGGTGCCACAAGTACTCCTGTTCTTCTTATATCATTAAGTACATCTGTTAAAAGAAACACACAACACTTTGCAGATGTACTCCCTATTATAATCATCCAAATGAGAAGACAGCATTTAATATGTGAGCCTTGTGAGATGATTTTCACTAGGGTGCTGAGATAGAGAAAAAGCAAATTCATTCTTGTTTACTTGATAAAGGCAGTTCTCTCATAATGAGAAATCTACAAACCTGCAGCCATAAACTATCCAAGTGAAGAACAATGCCCCCCTCTAGTGTTTACTGCAATTCTACAGCAGTGCAATCGGTCATAAAATGTACTCTATTCCTCCAGCTACTGCAGAAATAAAAATCCTTTGTGGCCATTAATGCTGCCAATTTAGCCTGTCTGCAACTTTCCCCACTAGTCCCAGGATTAGCATTGTAGATGATAGCATCAGTTATAAACAAAGGATTCAAGATCCCCATCCTGACAATCTTGGGTTTTGACTACTGCTGCAATAAACAAAGCCAGTGTTCACCAACTAACCTATTGCAGAAGCCACCATTCTAAAGGTGGCAACTCTTTTGCTAGGGGTTTCTTTACCTCTAATTTATATTGATTTTCCCTTATATTTCTAGCTGCAAATATACATTTCCATTTTATATTATTTGTTCAATCAATAGGCAGAAGCAGGTCAAGTGCTGTTCACGAGGGAGTCCAGCTACACACTCTTCTGATTGTTCCACAAATACAGGCTCTACAATTATTATTTGGTGCTACACTGAAGATTTATTCTGGTGTATGTGAGGAAGAGCTTTGCTCTGAAAGAAAGGGTCTAAAATGCTGGAAGAATCTGTACAAGATTTTGTTAAAGCATAAGGATTACATGGTGTGTGTGTCTTGTGCTGATCCCCTCACACTGGGCGAATTTCACCCTCTGAGTCTTAGCCAGAAAGGGTAGTTTCCTTCTTCCAAGAGTTCTGGCTGCAAAAATATATGTATAAGATTGTGGAAAGGTAAGAAGTAAAGTATACCTTGACCACTGTTCCCTTTCTCAATAATCAGCTGTTAATTACCTTGGATGGCTTATTGAAGAGGCAGGCGCCACCTCCGTTGTTCAAAAATTCATGATACTCCTCAATATCACACTTGGAGAACTTGCTTGGAAGATAATAACTACAAAGAAATAGGGTAGTTGGTTATTTATTTCTCAAGTCGCTTTTGACCATTATACAATATTTTGTCTGCTTCCAAAATATGGAGGGAAATATATGGCCATATTCTTGGAAAGGGGTTGCTAGTGTACTTGATTCAGAGCCATGCGGTGAAAATATCTGCTTGCAAATCAGTACTCCCATTCTAACTTGTAAGCCTTTTTGTAGTACAAGTATTTGCAGCATTTGGCCTAGACTCTGTAACTGACATTTTTAATCTCTCATATATTGAATATGTTCCTTTTCTCGCTGTTGAAAGAGTGTTTAATATTGCCCTAAATCATGTACAACTTTTTCATAGCAGATGCTCAGCTCAACCATGAAAGGTATATTTGTTGATTCATTTGCTTTACGTCATAACATGGAAGTTCCTATAAAGAAATGTCTTACCCAGTGTCTCCCATTATACATCCAGACCATGTGTCCTCACACTTACACTCACCTAACAACAACAACAAAATTAAAATTCACACTTTGAGTCTGACAATTTTAAAATCTCTGCATAACATATATTATGTTTCTCATCTTAAAAAGAACACTGAAAACACTATATTCCTAATTTCTTCCAAATACAATATGGAAAGAACCATTTACTTTTTTCACTATGCACAGGACTCAAATTTATGCGTACACATTGGTCAAACTTTCTTCCATAAAATCACACACGTTACTATGCAATCTTGACAATCTTAGAAAAAAATTCTTGCTTTTCATTTTTTATTTTCCAGTGGAATCAGGAGGAAACGCCTCCACTGTATAAAGATTTTCACTTGAAAGAAGGAAAAACAAACAAACATAAATTTACCAGTTAGTAGTTTTCTTTTATCTGAAAAAATGCCAAGATTGTGGCCTAACGACTGTGCCAATGTCACTGCAAGTAAGTCTGGCTTTCCAAACTGAAAGAAACAAAACAGGATGGGAACAATAATCGTTTTGACACAAGAATCTGAAAACATAAAACACACTTTTTATACATTTTAAAATAAGATTTTTTTAAGGCAAAAGCAGATCAACGGTTTTATGGCTCTTACTTCAGTGAAGACTCATTTAACTGCAGCTGGATAATGGATCAGCAAGAAAGACAAAACACACTCTTAAGAATAGGTAAGATTTTTTTCTTACCACAGTAGCTTCAAGTGTGAAGGAGAGAAAGCTGCAGACTCTAGTTTGGAAATTCAACTGAACCCAAACCCAAGCTTATTCCGTTTGCCTTTTAGCATTATCCTCTATTTTGAACTTTATTCCATGGGACTGTATTAATGTTCTGTATTGGTCATGCAATAGGGGGACATTTTGAGAAAAATGCTTGTGCGGACACAGACACTGTGACTACCACATCAATTTGTGCTAGTATGAATATTCACACCTACTTCATTCACACCTCCACCTTTCAATAGTGAACAAATTCCACCAATGTAGGCTGCACCACTCCGACTGCTCTGAAATTGACTCCCCCTTTAAAAAACAAAACAAAATGAGAAAGTTTACTTCTTACGTTAGCCAATCCCTCTATTTACCTCCCTTATTTCCAAATGCCAGTTGCAATGACTGTGTTGTTGACTGCACACAAACAGAATAGAGAGCTGTGAAAACCAAAGAAGCTTTCACAATTCTTTCTGGGAAACCTTTCCCAAAACAGACTTAGAAGGAATAACATCTGTTCTCATGCACAGGCAAATTCTTTGAGGGAGAAACTCCCCTATAAAATAGTTTCATATTTTCATAAAGTTTAAGGCCAGAAGGGGCCATTACATCACACAGTCTGACCACCTGTATTAAATTTCAGCCAAATACCCCTATATTAAGCCCAATCACTTTAGTTAGACCCTGAGCATGTGAGCAAGACACACCAGCCAGGCATCATTAGCAAAGAGGATTCTTTGAACCCCCTCAGAGCACTGATCCACCCTGTCTGGTGTCCCATCTTCAGTTGTGGCTGACCATTGATTCTTTAGAGGAAGGTGGAAAAAACCCAAAACCAACCCACAATACGTCAGGCCAATTATGTGTCAGGGGAAAAAATCCTTCCTAGCCTCTGCAGAAGTCCTGAGGCATGAGATTTCATTAGAGCTGCAGATGAGAGCATGCTGAGGGCTGTGCAGGCAAACCTGTTTCCCTTGTCCATGACAGAAGGGGGATTCATAGATTCACAGATTCCAAGGCCAGATGGGGTCACCACACAACCATGCAGCCCGATCCCTCAATTTCACTGTTTGTATCCCTTCTAAAAAGATGTAATTGTAGGATCTGCTATTTCTAGATGATCTAGGAATTTAATGTTCTCAGACATTGTTATTATTATTATTTGTATTATAGTAGCGTGTAGAGGCTCCAACCAAGATTGGGGCCGCACTGAATAAAATGTTCTACAGCCACACAGGAAGAGACAGACCCTGCCCCCAAAGAGTTTACAATCTGAACAGACAAGACAAAGGGTGGGAAAAGGAAAGTATTTTACCCCAGTTATACAGATGATGAACAGAGGCACAGAAAGATTAAAAACCTGATCCTACAAATACTTATGCACCATGCTTAACTTTACTCATGTAAAGTCAGATGGACTAATTTAGCATGTGCCTAAATGTCTATGGGATTGGGCCCTAAATGACTTGACCAAGGTCACACAAAAAGTCCGTGGCAAAGCAGAGAACTGAGCCCCAATCCTGTCTCTCACCAAGAGACCACCCTTTTCTCTTTTCTGTTAGGTTTTATTACATCAATCACATTACCAAAACAATTCAGAGAATTAGGGAAGAACAGAAACATTCCTCCCAGTAATGATACTCAGCTTATGATCCTTATGGTGCACTTGTATCTTGAGAACAAAGTATTTTGAAGGAATAGAGAACCTCAGTAATCCTGCAATATGCAGGGCATGAGTAATATCTACTGGCACATATTGTGTCATTGGCTTTTAAGCAGAACTCCACATTGGTTTCAATGTTCTGCTATAAATGAATGATGTGAGTGGCCAACTGTCAGTATTCTATTGCAACACAGTACCATGCACTATCAATCAGGCAATCTGTGTTGGCAGGTAATTACACAAGACAACAGGAGTTCACAGCACATGCAGCTTGTGCTTAATATATTGAAACTAGCATGAGAGTAGTGTCTAGTTACATGATTAGTTACATTGTTTTAACCTCCCACCTCCCTGTCCCTACGCACTATTGTCAGGATTACTGTACACTGCATAACACCATAGAAAGAAAATGTTTCAGCCACTAATAATAAAGCACTCCCCATGGAATGAAAAAATAGTAATAAAATGGCATACGAAGTTACGTACGAAAAAAGGTGAACTGCATCACTTTTCTCTCTGATAAAATCTCTCCTATATTTCATAAACTCACGTAGAGTCACCAATGGGTTTTCAGATATGGTGAACTTGTTATCAGTAGCCCAGGTTTCCATGGCAACCAATACTATCCTGGTGTTAAGTTGTTCTTTATATATCTAGTACATTAACAAAATGAACAAATATATTATATCATATAGAATATAGTTGCTTCTTTCCCTTTTTTTGTAACAACTTCCGTCTGTAATAATGAACATTTTGTTCCCTGAGGCTCACCAACTTTCTTTTTTAAACAGGAAGTAGTACAGCTAAAATCCAGATTTTAGGCCACACGCCAGTAAGCAGTTCTGCATGACTACAAGGGTCCACCAGCAAAGAGCTCCTGGTAGGATCTGAGCCTTGCAAAGATCTCTGGGACTCTAAAACCTTTGTAAGAATAAATTGAGAGATTTGATACAAATCTCTAAAGAGCCACACAAGAATTCTGGATAACTCAAAGATTTAGGTTCAGAAAAATCAAGGTTTATCTGTATTTTATAGTGTCCATCATACTTCACTTACACAACAGGGCTCTATACTCCTCAACAGATATATGCAACAGGTACCTGTATCAGGGAGACCTGACCACTTCCACTGTTACAGAATCTTCAGCAGTGCCTATCTTCAGACTGAGTGACTTATCAGGAACCATCGTGTCCCAGACCAAAGGACTTCAACAGTGGGAATACTATTTTTCATTTGCAAATCCTGGAAATGTTTCTGGGCACAGTAGCCATTTATAGTATACACACATTTGTAGTGTGATTTATAGCCCCAACAACTACCTATATTCCCCTGCCCCATATAAAATAATATGAACTCAAATTTCTTAAAGGCTGAATAAAACATACAATTTCTCCTTATATTTTAGTGCATTATAGTTGTAGACACTTTCCTGGTTGCAGCTATAGTTAATACATTACCCTTACTGGGTAGTTTTCTGAATAAGATGTGCTTTAAAAACCTCAATCCAGCAAGGTACTTGAGCATGTGAAGTCACTGAAATTATTTAAAGTTAGGCACATGCTTAAATACCGTGCTGTACTGGGAGCTAAATAAACATCTGCAATCTTCACATAAATTAATATCATGTATATCTGTGAAATAACATTTCCTACAATTATTGGCACTACAACCACATGGTTCACAACACATTTAGAAAAGCATTTAGTTGAATAATACTTACTAAATCTGCCACGTTCACCACTGATTTAGCATAGCTGTTCGTATGGCCGACTGATAATCTATGTTTTTTACACTGAAAAACAAACACAGACCAGTTAGAAACATATTACTAAAAAATAATTTTGATTGAAAAACGTAAAGCAAAAGATGAATCTATCAACAGCAGAAGCTGTGCTCAAGCTGCTTATCTTTTGCGCTGACTGAAATGTTAAAAAATTGTGTCTAGCAAATTGTTCAGATACGGATATTACCTACCTGCCTCACAATGGTGTTGTGAAGATTCATTAATTAATGTTTAGAAAGTGCATTAAAGAAACCCAACTCCAAGGAGGAGAGCTAGAAACTCGTAACTTGAGAGAGTAGGGTTGCCAATTTTGGTTGAACGTATTCCTGGAGGCTTCATCACATGACATAATCTTTAATTAAAGATTAATCTTCAATTCCTGGAGACTCCAAGACAATCCTAAAAGAGGCTGAACATTTGAAGTACAATCCCAGCTCCAGGAAGGAGGCTGAGGGGCCTCATAAACAGGGGGAAGAAAAACCTACCAGGACTTTTATACAGAGCCAGAGTGGGCGAGAACTTGAGCTTCTAAAGAAGTGAGTTTCACTCTGCAGAAAGAGTTAATAAACCTACAAAGGAGGTAAGTGCTTTGACCTAATCTGGTCTGTGTAACTGACTAGAACAGTCCAAGTGGGTGCTATGAGCAATGCACTTTTAGGACCACAAGGGGGTACTCTGAAGGCAGTCCACCATGACACAGGGTACCAGAAGTTGGATGTGAGGCCTCCTCCTCTCAAGGAAGGAAATCTGAACAGCAGGGCATAAACAAACCACTGTGAGACATTTACCCTCCCAAATCTGCATGTGGGGGGGTCCAGCACCAACTGCAGGAAGACCAGCTCTTTCTTTTTTTTTTAAGGCATCCAGCAATTGGGACAAGACAGACGTCGTAAATGAAGAAGTCATGGAGTTGTAATTTAGGTAGTCCCTCTGTCTCTCCTTAAGATGGGAGTCATCCCAGCTTTTCTCCTTGGAACTGGGGTTGTAAGTCAGGCCAGCTATTGGGCCATAGCCAGCTTCTCCTACTGCAGGCCCTTTTTCCCAAGTACTTCTCAAGCTCAGAGAGTTCAGCAGGTTACTCTTCTCCTGCTATGGGGGAGGAGGCAACAACTGTGTACATCTTTGCAGGGCTGTGGGCTTATATTGTATTTTTAGTTATTAGTTCTGAATTTAGAATATTTTAAAAAACCTTTAAAAAAACTGAACTTCAAAAATATCTCAGTACTGGTAGTTGCACTACAGAAGAGCTTTTTAAAATAAATATTTTACCTTAGCTAAAACTAATTTGTTACCATGCACTGGACATACAGAAATATTACAAAAATTTTATCTTTCATTATTGTTTGCAGTGTTGTTGTAGCCATGTTGGTCCAAGGATATTAGAGAGACAAGGTGGGTGACGTAATATCTTTTATTGGACCAACTTCTGTGTAAGATCAGAAGCTTGTCTCTTTCACCAACAGAAGTTGGTCCAATAAAAGATATTACCTCACCCATCTTCTCTCACAAATATAGTAGTTATTTAAACATTATTTTCAGTTATGTTTTGAGAAGTTTTTCAAGGACATTGGACAACGTTATCTACATTTTCACTTTTGTTTTTAATTCATCACTGTTTACAATATCTTCCTAGAGAATGGTCCAGGGTTCTGGTCTCAGCTCTGCCATTGTTTTACTGTGTGATCTTGCACAAATCACATACAGTTTCATTTTCAAGGAGTGCTGAGCTTCCACAAGTTCAACAGAAATAAGTGGCTCTTCTGAAAATCAGGCCCTGAATCTCCCTATACCTCCATTTACCTAGCTTTGAAATTAAGGTTTTAAGATCTACAGATGAAATATTCTATATACATGCCAATTATTCAGAATCAATAATAAAAGATAGGATATAAAATGTATTTTAAGACCATTTTTGTTCTTTTCAGCAAACACTGATATTTTCCAACCAAAATTTCTCATGGAGACATTCGGTTTACTTCCTTGTTTGTGACCCAGTTATGTGAGCACATCTCTAGAACTAACTGCTGCTGAAGATTCAGCACTGATCACTCACTCTTTGTTTTCAGATAATTGCCTAACAGGGGAAATTGTATTGTCTTTTTTTGTTTTGTTTTGCTTTTAATTTAAATCCATCTCTCCATCATAGAGAAATTAACAAACAATGTGAATTTTTATGCATTACCAAGCAATACAAAATTTACGGTAAGGCAAAGTTTGGGTCTAATCGACCAGACAGTAAGCATGTTGAATATATCCATTTCTTTCCAGCTACCATAAGATACATTGGTGTGTTACATCCATTACAGATTAGAGTCAGAGATAGGAAACTGCCTGTGGGTAAAGTTACATCCATTTAGAATTCTCCAGTATTTGATGGTTCTGTCCAAGTTCCATAGTCACAGTTTATATTCTATAGGATATAAAATGAGAATATTAAGCAAGAAGTACTGCAGAATCAATGAGCCCTGGGAACAGCTTGCTTACCTTGAACAGAGAGTGATTTATCACATCTGTGAAATCACTAAGGCCAGGTCTACACTTAAAAGTTAGATCAAATAGCTGCATCGCTCAGGGATGTGAAAAAAGCCGTAGCTATTGCCGACCTAAACCCCAGTGTAGTCGTGGCCAGGTCAACAGAAGAATACTTCCATTGTCCTAGTTGCTGCTGTTCGGAGAGATGGACTTACTACAGTGACAGAACACTCCCTTCCATTGTTATAGGAAGCACTTATACTACAGCTACAGCAGCAGAGCTGCAGTGCTGTAGCATTGCCGCTGTCGTATAGACATGGCATAACAGTACGTACTCAACTGGGCAGGAATTCAGCAATTATAAGGCACAGGAAAAAGGTAAGTTAAACAGACATATTTGCTAGAATGTTATCTAATTCTAATTGTTTGGACATTCAGCAACATAATGTGTGACCCTTAAAAAGATACTAGGTGCTCAGAGTTCAGATAGTGTTGTAAACGCAAGAGGATTAGCATAAAGTGTACTGCTTAAAATATAATGAATGCCTCTCTCTAATATGTACCCAGGTTCATAGTGTAGGCAAATGAAATAATCACTGTGTTTATTCAGTGAACAGACATTTTACCAAATGATTTTAACCTGCAAGAAAATTAATGTGCAAACTTTAAACAGGAAACAGCTGTGTTCAAATGGGTATATCATGTAGCAGGCAATGACTCCTGTTCTTCTGGCTCAAACACAGCCACTATAATAAAGAGAATTCTGAACACCAACTACCATCTTCTGTTGTGACACAGAAATCACTGTCACCCTCGACGTTATTGCTATGCTCACCCAACACAGGGTTCAAAGGAATAAAGCTCTGTTATTTAAATTACTTAAGGCTGGCCGTGTATTCCTTCTAGAATTTGATGGGTATCTTTGCAAATGTGGGCATTGCTTAGGAGAAGCTGTTCATAATTGAAAAAAGCCTAGGGAAGCATAACAATTATAGAGCTATAGAGTTTAAGGCTAGAAGGGATCATTAGATTATCTAATCTGACCTACTGTATAACATATGCCAGAGAATTTTGTTTAGTTACTCTTGTATTGACCCTTATCATTTGCATTTGACTAACCAATAGCTTCCAGAAATGCATTCAGTCTTGATTGAAGACTTTAAGAGATGGAGAATCCACAACTCCCCTTAGTAATTTTTTCCAATGGCTAATGAACATCACTGTTAAAAGATTGTGCCTTATTTCTAATTTGAACTTGTCTGGCTTTAACTTCCACCTGTTGATTCTTGGTATGCCTCTCTCCGTTAGGCTAAAGAGCCCTTTAGTACTGTAACAAAGTAAGTGAGGTGCATTCTCATTAAAAACAACAACAACAACAACAACAATGATTCTGCGCACAGTCACTAGTAAACTGCAGACTAACATTATGGATTGTTTAGTTATTATAGGTAAATATAATGTACCATCAGCTTGGAGTCAGATATACAGCAGGTCATTCGGTGTCAAATTCTTGTTCTGTACATTTTTTAGGTCTAATTCTGTTCTTAGTTATGCTGGTGAAAATCAGGAGTAACTTCACTGGAGTTACACAATGATATAAGTGAGATCAGAATCAGTCCCCCCTTTAGGAAATAAACTGTATTAATAAGATCATTGGTGTACTTTATTGTTTACACCTTGAAGGCAGATAAGACAATCATAAATTATTGATGTATTTCAAATAGCGAAGTACGCAAGTCTTACCATTAGATGATCATTCACAATCATTAACTCAATGTATTTTGTTTCCTCCTCAACTTTACGTGAAATCTGATGAACCTGCAGAAAGATTAACAAACAAGTTGTTTAAAGGGAAACAAAGCTTAATTTGCCACATCAACAAGGGCAAAGCTTTTGATATGGTCTCCCACAGTATTCTTGCCAGCAAGTTAAAGAAGTATGGATTGGATGAATGGACGATAAGATGGATAGAAAGCTGGCTAGATCGTCGGGCTCAACGAGTAGTGATCAACGGCTCGATGTCTAGTTGGCAGCCGATATCAAGCGGCGTGCCCCAGGGGTTGGTACTGGGGCCGGTTTTGTTCAAAATCTTCATTAATTATCTGGATGATGGGATGGATTGCACCCTCAGCAAGTCTGTGAATAACACTAAGCTTAATAGATACACTAGAGGGTAGGGATAGGGGCCAGAGTGACCTGGACAAATTGGAGGATTGGGCCAAAAGAAACCTGATGAGGTTCAACAAGGACAAGGGCAGAGTCCTGCATTTAGGATGGAAGAATCCCATGCACTGCTACAGGCTGGGGACGGACTGGCTAAGCGGCAGTTCAGCAGAAAAGGACCTCAAGATTACAGTGGACAAGAAGCTGGATATAA